TTATTTGAAGACCCACTTGTATTCATTGGCGTTTGGCCAGGAATGAGACTCTGTCTGTAGTGTTAGTGTTTATTTTATTGTTTATAGTTTTTTTATGTGTCGATTTTAGATTTGTATGATATGTTAAGCACTTTGGTCAGCTGTGCTGTGGTAAAGCGCTATATAAATAAAGTTGAGTTGATTAACATTTGCTTTAAATTAACATCACATTTCATTTTTCATTTGTCAAAAAAGCCAAATAACAAAAGCTGAAAGCAAACAGTTTTTAGTTTCCTCCCCCATCAATCATTTGCAACCTCTCAGACTTGACTGGTGACCCTGTGGAGAGGCCCAGCCCATAGGCTGGAAGCCACTGGACTAACCTAACTGTATGTAAAGAATCTGAATCTGCTTAAAGGAGTTAAGAGCAGCTACACCTCCATAGTGAAATGCTGCATACTCACCTTTAAACGTAGGGTAAATATGGGTGTAATGTTCTACATTTCCCGGGAGGCGGTCGGGGCACATTTTTACAACATAAGCCTTATTCACTGTTGTTAATGGAACTGTTTGACTTTACCTGCTGGCCTGTCTGTAGCTGAATTTGGTTCCTTTGTGTGCTTTAACACAAATTTTTACAAGTACTCCACCATGTAATGAGATAATATGCTGCCAACCCTCTTCCCCAGGTCGTTTCCCAGACTTCAGTCTGGCAGGAGGAAGCCCGGCAGACCTCGGATCAGTGATGCACCATCCCATCTAGATTTAAGAGTCCGCATTCTGGAGGACTCGCAGATCGTTGTCCTGTCCAGCAGTGGTACGTTCCAGCACTCTAGCTAGTTTGTTAACTGACAAGGAGGAGGAGCCGAGCTGCGAAGAAGAAGAAGAGGCTGTGGATCCTCCAAAATCAGTTTCTCCTCCGTTTTCTTTGTGGTCTGTCAGGTTCTCAGCAATTGGACGCCTCAAGGTGTAGTCTCAGAGCGCTGCATCCAGGGACGGTATGCACGACCTTGCACTGCACTCAGCTTGGTGCGGATGCGTTCTTGCGCCACACAACACATAGAAATTAATGGGTGTGATAGTGGCGCACAGCGCCCACCGCATCCTGTCTGAAAAGGCCTTTACTTTTTGCGCCCTGATGAAGACCCGGTGGGGTGTAAAATGGTTGGTGTTCTAGCTTATACACTCAACTAAAGCCTGTTGATACAGCTTTGCTCATTGCTCTGCCTAAGGACTTTGTGTAATCAGGTCTTATCTTCAAGAGCAGCTTATGTCTTTCTGGATTCACTAATGCTGTGAGACAAGAAGTGCCAGGCCTCTTGTCTTCTCAGGAGAATATTTGTTGGTTGCAGCAGCCATGCTTCACTCTACCTTAAAATATCCAGACAGTGAATTATAGTGTATGACTGGCTGAAGTAGTGGTACAGAGGATCTTGTAGCATTGGCCTGGGTCATGTGCTGTCGGTGGGAGTAGGGTTGGTGTTTGCTGCAGTATTAAATCCATTTGAGTCCTGTGTCTCGTTACATTTGATCTCTCATCTACCAGTATTTGTGGTTTATGATGGCCAGTATAGAAAAGAGAGGCCAAAAACAAATCTTTTCTATAGGAGGGTGACGAATGAACATGCTGTAAGGAGGCTAAAAGAGGATTTTATGGGGCAAAACTGGGAATCAGTTTACAGAGAGGAAGACTTAGATAAAGCATATGAGCAATTTTTAAATATATTTAAGA